TATTGTTAGTTGTGTAGGTCATGGTTGTACGAGGGCTGGGATACTGCCAGGGCGCCCACACCTAGACAGGAGGACGATTAAGGTCCTCAACCAAAGCCTTTGGCTCAAAAGCCTAACTGCAAGGCAGCGGTGTTTGGCGGGGAGATGCAAATGCATTACCTTTTCTATGGAACAAGTCGCCATACATGTTCCAACCCCCAACCGGGAGGGTCAGGAGATTGTGTTCGTCAGACCTCTACCCATTGACCAACCTGGTATGAGAGACTCTGTGAGCATCGTGCGGACACTCCCCAGTATAGCTTAATGGGTCTCCAAGGTACACAAACCGCCACACCACGGTAAGGTCCAGTCTGTTCGTGATCGGAACGGAAAGACTGTACACTCCGAAAACTGTCACTCAAGCACTGCTCACCTCCCCTCATAAGAAGGCCACCACATGAGAACCTTTCCCCAGTTCCCCTCACTCATAATACTCCTTACCCACGTTCTGTACAAGATTATCTTTAAGATAAAAGATCCATAGTCTTACTATTCGCATCGTCTATAATCTACTTCCTTACCCACGTTCTGTACAAGATTATCTTTAAGATAAAAGATCCATAGTCTTACTATTCGCATCGTCTGTCCATAATCTACTTAGGAGACTGGTTTGCCAGGGCGGTCAGCTGAAAGCTCCGGTTGAGTACCCTAATTGTCCTCCAGTTTACGTTTGGGCGCTCTGGCAACATCTCAACCCACTTACTACTCGATATAGCCTATTGCTTAGGAGGTCTGTGGTTCGAACCCATCTCTAGGCTCTTCCTTTCTAGAATTGTGCAGCCTGACTGTACCTCAGCCCTGGTGCTTTCTTCGGGTCTCATGGCAGCTAGGCCCCGAAAGGGTACTGCAGTCGAACGTATATTATTATTATCACTATTATTATTATTATTTGTAACCTCAGTACCTGTGGGGTTGAAACGCTCCACTCACAGATACCGAATATGCAGACGACATTGCTCTCGTTTGATCTGATGCCGTTGTAATGCAAATAACATTAAGTAAGCCTAATAATTTTGTCTCACGGTTCGGCATGCGCTTCACATCTGCAAAGTTCAGAGTGTTGTTGCAAAACTGAGTGGGCTGGAACCCTAAACTCATGCTTCCGACTGAGTCATTTGAAGTCGGAGACAAATTCTTCCACATGAGTAGATGTGT